GACCTCACGGGGAGCAAGGAAAAACAAACAAAGACGACCCATTCGAAAGGACGGGCGAACTCGCAGTATTAATAGTACTTTTTTCCAGCGGGTCATGTACATATGTCGGTGGTTGCGGCGAAAGAAAGTGCTGCTGAAACCTACCACCAACCCAACCGATGACAAAACACCGATTGCACAACTCCCCGACCAAAAAAACACACCAACAAGAGCACAAGCGACACCAGCAGTAGACCCATACGGCAAAACAAACACGCGGGGATAGTCCAAAACAAGAGCGACACGAGCGACAAGAACGTGGGAGGGTCGTCGCCGCCGGTGAGAGGAGAAACGAGCGAACACATACCACACCACGCCAGCAGGGCACGATGTTGTCATTCGAGACAAGGGGTAGGAAAGCAGGGACGGGGCCCTCCCAATGGTGACGGCACCAGCGGCCTGGGTGGTTTGAACACGCCACAGCCACCGAGAAGTGCATCTACCGTAATCTACCGTAGGTGACATGATGTAAGATGCCACACCCCCCGGACCGATTTTCCAATCTCAAATACTCAACGAGGAAGAGCATGCCGAAATAAAAAACAAAGCTGTCGACAAAGACGGGCCCGACGCCGCCGTCTTCGGCAACTCAACTGTTTTAACTGCAACTCCACTGTTTATTTCTGCCGAGCTCTGAAAATCGGTCCAGGGGGTGAGATATCTTACATCATGTCATGTCACCCACGGTACGGTACATAACGTTTTCGTTTACCTGGGCCACCCTGCGCCTCTTCCTCCTGTTGTTCGTAGTCTTCGAAGCCACCTCTTCCATCTCGCCCCCTGCCCCCCCGGCAGCAGCCCCCCCGCCAGCATTGCTGCCTTCTTCGCCTCCCGTCGCAGCACCTCCGCCGCCGCCTCCGCCATCAGAACCGGCACTGCTGCCGCCGCCACCCCCGCCCGCGCCGTTGCTGTTGGTGCTGCTGTTGCCGGTGGTGGGGGTACCGTCACTTCCTTCCACGTTCCCTGCTCGTTGTTACGTTACATTTGTCACGCAGGCGGGTTTTGTTTGTTGGCGTCATCACACGAGGGCTCGCCTCACGCAGCAGCAAGAGCCACATCGCCGCAAACAACCACGGCCACAACATAACACACCACAGCAGTAGCAGCAAACGACAACGCTAGCGACAACAAACACACAGCGAGAGGGGGGCGAACACGTGCTTGTGTGCCGCGTGACCGTCTCTCCTCTTCACCTACAAAAAAAAAAAAAGCAGCCCGACAGACAAACAGTCCACAAAAAACACCGAAAGCAACAACACCGCTACGTCAACACCAACCACCCTTAAAACAGCTTCCAAAACGACAGCCGAAAAGGACAGCAAACGTTCGGCGCGAGGTTTACACATACCTGAGGCCGCGGCAGCAGCCCGGGCGGCAACCTTCGCCATCTCCTGCTTCTTGGCAAGCGCCTGCCAGGAGGGCTCGTATCGGTAACGGGGGTTCGTGCCCAGCTCCGCGATGGTGCGGCTGCGGACCTCCTTCGAGTCCAGCTAAAACAACCAACCAAGGAAGGAAGGAAGGAAGGAAGGAAGGAAGGAAGGAAGGAAGGAAGGAAGCAAGGAAAGAAAGAAGCAAGGAAGGAAGCAAAGAAGGAAGCAAAGAAGGAGGGCGGTTTCGAGGGGGCGCTCATGTTATGTTTCGCATGCCATCATGGGCGAGGGGGCACAATCTTTGTTGATTTGTCGCACAAGTAGTTGGTAGACCATTGGGGATGGGAGGTTACTCGATTTGTTGATTGCCTTGGCTAAAGAAAAAAAGCGCTCCACCGCGCCCCCCTTGCAGCGATATATACCCCCGACCCTCCTTCGACCACATCTCCACAAAAACTGCTATCTAATAAACGATCCGCTTTCAATAACATCTCCACAAAAACTGCTATCTAATAAACGACCCATTCCAACAACATCTCCACAAAAAACACCATAACCAAACCCTCCTTCAACCACATCTCAACAAAAACTGCGAAAAAACGACCCTCCTTCAACCACATCTCCACCAAAAGTGCGAAAAAACGACCCTCCTTCAACAACATCTCCACAAAATTCACCATAACCCAACCCGCCTTCAACAATCCCCTCGTGTAAACCCTAAACCTAAACCTAAACCTAAGCCCCACCTTGACCCCTCTTTGTGAGGGGCGGCACCTCTCCGGATGAGTCGGGGGGATGGGCACTTTCTCCACCGTGCCGTCTTCTCTCTCACGGAGGTAGTGAGGGGGGAGCACCGAGTCGTACGTTGCCAGGTACGTGTCCAGATAGCGGGCGTTGAGCTCCTTCTCGGACTTGCGGCGGTAGAACATTTTCTGTTCGGCGGCGTTTGTTTCCGAGTGTAACCGTCCAAAGAAAAGATGTTACTTCTTAATTGCAGAGAGGAGGGCCAAAGAGGGGAGTGGAGATTGTAGAGCTTTACACGCATCCTTGTTTGTGTCCGCCATATGCGGGGTTGCATGCGTATAGGAGTCGTCGAATAGTTGTCGTGTTTCTTGGACATGTTGCATGGGGGGGGGGCGCATGGAATATCTCATCTCGTTCCAATCCAACTAAGATACTCCCAGTCAAGCCCGAACTACGCTACTATAGAATACGATATAGTACACACACAGTAAATGGAAAAACAAACGCAAACACGCACACAGAACACACAGAAACGTCGGATCCAACCTGCAAACTGAACGGGCAACGTTGGCCCTATTGATCTCATCATGCTATTGTCAATACACTCCGGAGAATACTTATCAAGAACAACAGGCAGGGTGCCTGCCCTCTCTCTCTCTCACTCTCACCAGATCAGCGATTTCTTCCCAGGCTCCCAAGCCTCTCTTCCGCGTGAGGTCTGCTAGGGCGAGCTCCTCGACTGCGCTCCAGCCCTCTGTTGTGTCGTGTTGTGCGGTGGCGTGGTGTGGTGTGTTGTGGTTTGGCGTGGTTTCGTTTTCTCCGGCGGTGCTACGGACGGCCCACTCAGCCAGCATGTCATGAATCAGGACTATTATTAGTTTCGTTTGCGGCTGGCTCGGAGATCGACATCGCTTTGGTATCGATTTACTTTACCAAGAAACTCCAAGCTCGACTCCTAACCCACGCGCGAGAAGAGGGGAGGTTGGGGAGATGCGAGGTTTGGCGTCCGATCAAGAAACATGTCGTGGATACATGGCTCTTCTACTGCCGCAACCGTTTGTGTCGCGACCATATGACGGAAGAAACGTACGATGTTTCACCATCACGGTGGAAGAATACAAACACATGGTGCGACCTAAGGTGTGACACACACAAAAGGGAAGTTCCGCAAGAGAGTCTTGTGCCGCAGTCTGGTCTATTCGGCACTGCTGTCAAAAGCACGCCTCCCATATCCTCCGCGTGGACTACAACCCAAGGACTACTGCTGTAACTCTCCTTGCGGCTGTCTCCTGCTAACCCGGGTGGCGGCCCGGTGACTTACATGGAATGCTTATCATTTACATTACAATTTTCCCAGGATTGCTCCATTTCCCCCTGCGCCAGATTTTCGTTGGACTACTGACAGGCCACCATTCCGATATTTCGGGCTCTCAAAGGCCGGTATTTCTCCCATCCATTTCACGTGGATTTGGGCTGCATTTCTTTCCGGGATATCTTTCCGATGCTCTCTCCTTTAACGGCCCGGTGGCATGCAGTAGGTGGCCCGATATAGTGATATAGTGGCATCTAGGGGCAAGAGGATAAAATGCCACTGTTCAGGGCAGCGCCACTATTCGACATACTGGGCTCATGTATCTTACATGTTCATGTTGACATTGTGACAACAGATCTTGATGCCACCGCATGGGCAGTTCCACTATATATTCAAGTTATCGGGCCAGCTACTCTTTACATGCATGTAGTCGATGTACCTGAGTAGATGGGCTTGTGCAGCTTGTCCATGACTCTGTAGCTGTGGGTCTTCTTGTGCTGGCGCGGCTCGCTCCCGCTGAAGAAGCAGCTCACGCACAGGTCCACCACGTCCTTGCACTCCGCGCACCGAATGTAGCACAGCTGGGATACAGCAGGAATAGGGGTAGGGTACGAAACGAGGAGCGGGTGTTTGCACAGGCAGAGGGGTTGCAGGGGGGGAATGGAAACGATAAAAAAGCGAACGCTACAGCAGTATCAACTAAAAATCGAAGGCAAACAGCCCCAGGAGAGTCGGTAGGGGGCCTCAGGGAGAGGAACCCTTTGTGTGGGATTAAACGGCACAAGTGCTGTGAGACCGACTTGAAGTGAAGACCAAAAAAGCAAGCAAACACTATCGCTTTTACCCGAGGAGATATGCATATCTATCTATGTCGCGTCGTATCTGTGGTTGGTGGGTGTACGTGCGTACCGACATCAGTTGTGGTGTGTGTACAGCGGTTAGCCCGATGTTGTGCAACCGTCGACACACACACATACGGCAGTCAAACATAGCGATGCGTGAGATCGCTTCCTGTCACAGGCGCACCAACTGATGTAGACAGCGGGGACGTACAGCAGTACAGCTAGTTGGGGAAGTCCGCAACACAAAAGAAATGCCGTTCTATACCATACATGTATGATGCCAAGCCAAGCCCCACACATCGAATCGACATTCATACGTTCCACAATTTGCGACTGATCACGTGGCTGTTGATGATGTTGTTGTTGTTGTCTTCACACCAAAAACCGTTCCCATCTCTCTGGCCAGTACCTTCATCTGTCCGTACTGCTGGCTGTACTGTAGGCAGAGCTTACGTGTATAGACATTGGTTGGGTGGGGTCGTTTGTTTTCGTTTCTTGGGTACATTTTTTATTCAAGTCTCACGTGCTCACAGCTCACGACCATGATGCCATGCCATCATCTGTACGCAGCTGAAGAGTAGGTAAATACCGGTACATGCATGTAGCCTGTGAACACGGGATCGACCGCGTCAAGGTATATCATTACGGACAGAGGGGGTACCGTATTGGCTAGAGAGACATGCAGAGAGATCGGGACCGTCGCATGTCAAGACAATAACGACCACATTTTTGTAGAAAGAAAATAAACGTGTTCTGTGGAAGTCCGTCCAGCAATATTTTGTCAACATACAAGTACAGCAGCAGCGTCAGCGTTCTACAACATGGCAGTGTTTTCGTCCGTCCGTCCCATGGATACAGCATCTCATGTACTGCTGTACATTTGATAAATTATATTCTGGAGCCAATCTACAATACACCAGCCGGTGTAACTTGACATGTCAGTCGCGGTCACACAAAAGGATGCAAGTCGGAAAACACAAAGACGTCGAAGTAGGAGTAGATCGCATCATACATACCATACGTTCGCCAACACAAGCGTACAGTAGTATGCGGTAGTGTACAGCAGTATGCGGTAGACTTGCACATGGATACAAGAGCGCAAGGGACAGACACCCGCGACCCCCGACACAACACCAACCAAGGCCTTTCGAGGAGAGCCAGGCCGCTGGGGTCAGACTTGGCTTATATCTGATCACGACACGCTAAGTTCAAGGCAGAGATTCCGCAGCATCCAACAGCTTGCCTACCTCCTTTGCTACCTGTGCGCGCGAGACCTGTATCTCTCTCCTCCTCGTACAGCAGCAGTGCCTGGACACTGGTTAGAATGCTCACGGAGTCTGCTGAAGTCTACTGCTGCAAGTGGTTCACCAACCCTTGTTCACTGAAGACTGAAGACTGCGTTGGTGAGTTGCACGCATACTCTTGAAATATGTAACCATTGACGCAAGCGCAATCCCTTCATGCCATGACAACTCAAGAGGGGGTGTAGGGAGTCTGGATGGAAACGACGTGGTTGGTGCGGAACAATCCCGCCAACAGACCCAAATACAGCAAGTCGCTCGCCACGGCCGGTAACGTACCACACCCCAAAACTTCACTTCGGGGGGTAGAAACCAGTTTTGAAGCTTGCGCGTTTCGGTCCGAGACAACAATCACAAAGAGCTCCCGGCTTCACACGCCAATACGCCCCTGCGTACCCACGTACTCGATACGACCTTGGTACACCGCACCCTGCATACTCACGAACTTGATGTCCTTGTTGCACGAGTCGCAGGTCATGCCGTCGGTGGGGTCCGCTTGGGGCAGCATGCTGATCGCTGCTTCCCGGTGCGGGCAAGTCTGCTGCTGCTGCTGCTGCTGCCGCTTGGAAACCACGCCAACACCTCCTTCTCCTCCCTCCATTGGAACCGACCCGCCGTTTGCTTGAGTCATTGTCCCCTACGCTTTTCACAATCTCGATTTCGTGCCGTGTGTGGAGAGTAGATGCAGGTCAATCACCGCTCTCTAGACATCTCATCTCTCCTGCCTCCTTGCCTCTTGCGGGTGGAAAAAAATGATATGGCGGAGCCCTCCCCCCCCCCTCCCCCAACCTCCCCATCGCTGGGTCTGCCTGTCGTACCAGCCAGCTTGCTTTTTGGGCAGGGCGAACGAGAGGAACAGACAGACGCACACGTTCCCCTTCATTTTATCATGGCACAGCCATCGCGAACCGCGGTGCTGGGACTGTACAAGGGGCTACGGCGCCAGGGGGCACTGCTGATGGTGAGCATTGCCGTCAGATATCGTAGAAAAGCAGCACCGCACGTGTGTGACATGGGCAACAGCAGCAAGCAGTGTCTTAGGGTGCCGCTACTGCTGTTGTACGTTGAATTGTCGTTCCTGAATCGCACCCAAGGAGGGAGTTGGTGTTTGGCGCATACTCAGGATGCTTGTTGTGGGTGATGGCCGGACTGAAAATATGACGCCAGAAGCTGCTGTCGGTGTTTTTTTTTTTCTTCTTAATATGACACAACGGAACCATCTCTATCATAGAAAAGAGTCTTTCTCTCGGATGTACAACAAGGGTACGGGCCACGCGGCAACTCAGGCCCTCGCCAGTTCATGACGACATGGTCGACTGATGCCAAAGAAATGGCTCGAGAGTTTTGTAGGGCGCTCTTAAAAATTGGCCACCGGCCCGGCCGGTAGAGCTCACGTTGATATTATGTTATAATGTTGATACAGATGTGTACGCATGTTGAACTTCTACTGCAGTTCGACCGCACGAACCTTTCAAGCCCCGAGAGCTCTCGACGCTACTGCTGTATATTTTCCATTGCCGACATACGTATCACCTTCAAATACTACTGCTGTGGTTTTGACTCGAACGGTTGTACTGTCAACACTCCCGCGCTCCGTTGTGCTCGCAAGTCGTTCAGTACTATGGCACATGCCTTTCCTGCGTCGTGTCTCTTGCCCTGTCTACAAAGTGGTACATAGGAATACCAGATCCCTTGTTATCTAGATCGCTCTGCGTGCCGTGCCCCATGAATGCTCTTGCGTTTCGCGAAGGCGGGCAGAGACGATTTACCCTGCATGTCTTTTTTGTCATATATTTCCGCACGATTACTGAAGTGGACTACCCCGACCCGGGGTCGGCGGTGTGATGGTGTGAACGTTTGATCGTTTTCATCACACTTTCGGCGTTCCCTTGAACCTTGTACACTTACATTGGCGGCTTCGCAGTATTGAAAGACGCGCAGGGGACTTCGATTCACGATAGGTCCTCTCGTCCTCTCGCTCTCACGTTTTCTCCGTCAAAGTACTACTGCTACTGCAGTAGGAAAAGGTGACCGTCACGTCACGCTTGAAGAGTATTCGCAAAACCCATCCTCCACGCTGTGTGTCCATCGACATTATTGTTGTCGTTGTCTTCACATTAATTTAGCCGTTCCGATCTCTCGCTGCTGTACCCAGTACCTTCATCTGTCCGTACTGATCAAGCACTTGAGCGGTCGATTCCCTGGACACATACATACCACCCAATGCCCGGCCGATTGTTCCCAACGCACCCACTCGGGCAGGACTACAACTACAGGGAGTACGCGTTGAGGAGAGCGAGAAGAGGGTTTGAGTTAGCTAGAGGGTTTGCACCGGAGGAGGCGGAGGCAGCCTTCAAGAAGGGGCAGCGAGAGCTCGAGATCGTGCGGAGACAAGCGGCCATCAGCCAGCTCTACCCCCATCAGGTACAACTGACGTTTGATGACAGCGATCAACATTGCCTATGATCTTTGTTGCGCGCGAGAGGCTCTCGGCTTGGTAGGTAGCACCCGGTCTGACAGGATCGTGGGATCCTATGCATTCACTACTGCTGTAGTGCTCTATCGGCCAGCACGCACCCCTTGCGCCTGTGGACGGCACCCTCACCTGTAGGCCTTGGCGTTAGAGTTGCTCTGTTTCGCACAACATCCCAGGGAACCGACCTGTTTGTCTGTATTGTCTACCCCACCCCGCAAATGAGCACGAAGACTCTAATAACTTTTGGCGACCCCGTTACAGAACAACGACAGCCGTTCGTGGGTCAGAGTGAACGCGAGCATAATCGAGTTCGTCAGAAATTGTCAAGACGGGCGGGAGGGATTCCGCGAAAACCCAAGCACACTGCAAGCAATCTTGCCGCGATTTGATTGGTAGTCGACACCGCAGGGACGTACGTAGAGTTAACGCGAGGGAGATGCAAGTACGAGAATGAAGCGGGCTCCCTAGTGATTCCCCCCTTTGATTTGCGTCCTGGTTGCCGTGACGTTTCTTTTTTTTCTCCTCAAGTCTCGTCGAACGTACTACTGAAGCCGTGATTCACCCTTAAGTGTTGGAGGTGTTGAGCTACCCTCTACACGCGCCCAACCCGACAGAAAAAAGTTATCATATCTCGTACATTTCCAGGTGGGAGGTGCCTGGCCTCTTGCAGTCTATCATTTGTTTCAAACCTTGCACGGGGTTGTACTCAGCTTGCACCTTCGTGTCCACGGGATGCCGAAAGATTTCGATGCTTGGGCCCCCTGTGTGGCACTGGTAGCAATCGGCAGCTAGACCGGAAGCCCATCCCAACCCCGCGTCTTAGTCAAGGTCAAATCTCTCTCCTGCTGTACGTTTGTTGTGGAGGTTGTTGGCAGAACTTTCGGAAAGGAAAGGAAAGGAAAGAAAGTAGTTTGCTCCATGGACTGTTGGACGTATTTCCCGTCCGGCGTAGCCACCCCGCTTGTGTGGACCCCACGTCCGCACTGGTGTTTGGCCTGCCGTCTTACACAACATGATGCTGTCAACGTATATAAGCAAGTGGTGATCGCACCCTGGCTCCCTTGTGCGTGCCACAAGTTAACCGTCGTTTGTCTTTTCGTCTTCTGTCTTTTCCTGTCGTCGTTGTCGTTGTTGTGGTCGTTGTGCCCCTCGTCCCTTCTCCCTTCAGACATCGGTGATGGAAACAATGACACCACCGTAGCCTGCTTATTCCCAAAAGGGGACAAAGAAATTTGACCCACAGTGCGGAGCCTCCCTCTCCTTTGGCTTGGCGGGCTGGGCAGCCATGCCACACGTGTTTACCTAAGCGAACCTGGAGCATGCCCATGTCGAAATACATTGTGAGACCGTCAGCCACAGGCGTCTTGACCTGACGGAGCTTCTGTTGCAACTTGGTCTAGCTTCAGGGGCATGTTTTTGCTGCTCTTGTTTCGGAGGGCCCGGATGCCGCACAGCAGTACTTCTCGTACACGGATGAATGTAGGGATGTTTTTTCTTTTTAGCGAACACGAACGGGGCAGGAAACTGTTGCTGGGGAGGGAGGGAGGGGTTGCCCGATGATTGGGTTCGTTTTCGATATCTTGGTGTTCCTTGATGAAGGCAGACGCATGCATGTAGCTGGGTCTCTTCTGCTGTAGGGCCGCTGCCATTTGGGGGGAAAAAATCATGGTTCGCTCGCCAGTGACACTGCGGCACATAGTACCAATATATCGAGTCTCACATTTCTGTGTAATATTAGATCCCAACTAGAACCAAGAACAACAGTAAGGACGTACCAATAAGGGTCGGAGAGGAGCATGATTTGTGGCGGCACCGCTGCTTCCTGTCTTTTTCACCCGGATATCCTTGTGTTGGGCCAAGCGTTAAGCGCCGATGGAACGATGCCGTTAGATACGTGCCCAAGGCACGAACAACGGAAGTCCCCCTCATGTCAGGGAGGGGTGTCATCCCCGGTACCAAAGAGCAGGAAATCGGCACAGAAGAGTGGTAAAGGTGCGAAAATCGTTTTTGCCATGTTGCGTCAAATGCAGCTGCAAGCGGGTGAGGATTTTTGTTCTCCCTTACTTGCTGACGGGACAAAAAGCAAGCAGTGTAGTCGAATGGGGTTCTCGTTCATCTACTCCTTGTGGTTCGGACCGTGGTGTCGAAACCTTGACCTTTTCCTTGGTACACCATCTATACGGCTGGTGCACTTCGAAGCTCGTGGATGGTAAATACCCGAGAAACCGAGACCCGCACCCGGAGCACGTCTTGGGGGACGGTGATGCCATGACTCCATCTCCCTCTGAGAGAAAAATCTCAAAAACGACAGCTTGCTTGTTTGCCGTCGAGGAAAGGGACAGCGGGAGTTCATCTAATTGGTGGGCAAGAGGGTGGGGCACATGATGCGTTGTGAGCTGTTTATCTCATCACCCTGTGTGCATACGAAACCATAAGAGGATGACGGCGGAAGTCTTGAAGAAAAAGAAGCAGCAACGACGAAAAGTACGCCAATGCAGTCAGCAGGCGTCACGCCACACGCTGACGAGAAACGGGCTGGACATGACGCAAGCAAAGCCGTCCTCCGTGTAACCGATCGTATCGTCGCCACACGCTTTTGTGCAGCCTAGCCTGCTGCATGAACTACACCGATCTTAACATCCTAGGCTGACCCAACTACTGTAGATACTGCCAGCTCCCGCTCCTGACTACACAGCCGTTTCACAAGTTGCTCATGACAACGCCGACAGGTGCGAGAGGCGAGAGCACACAATGGAAACACCACCCCCCGTCGCACCATATGGACCTCTCAAAGACGTCCGTTTAGTCTTGGCAGTCTCCTCTACACTCTCACACTCCGGCCTCCCCCGCACCAGAAGCGCATGAGGCATCAACCGCTTTTCGACGACATGTTTAGTTACGACATGTGCAGGCCTTAACTGGAGTATGAATCATCATCATCGCTCGCGTGTTGCGTTCATGTCAGCGATAGCTTAGCTGCTCCCGGCCCCAGAGAGGAACAGGAACAAACAGTGTACCTGGTTCCACCTACCAAGGGTGACTGGCGCAGAGAGCGGGGGGGGGAAGCGATGGAGGGGATCGGGGCGGGCGGGGGATCAAGGATTAGGTTAGATTAGACTGTCAAGGATTGTTGTTGTTGTTGTTGGTTTGACATAAAACACCGTTCCGGTCTCTCTATCCAGACCGCCCTCTGTCCGTACTGATCTAACACTTGACGCGGTTGGTTCACCGTGGCCACAGGCTAACTTAGGGTACCTGAAAAGGGATAGATTAGGGTTTTTACTATCGACAAATCGAAGAGCACACATGATTGTACTGAAGGCCGAGCTGATAAGAAGCTGACATCAGACAAAGGGTACGTAGGACGGTAAGAGAAGCTCCTTCGTTTTTTTCGGCAACCCTCTGGGCATACCACTTGTTTTCTTGTTCTCGTGTGAGTAGGCCAACAAGAGAACAATGGTCAAGCAGTACACAGGTCAAGTGTAGGGTGGAGTCCAAGTTCCTCTGTTGAAAACGAAGCGTCTTACCTATGCACCAAGTTCCGAATAATAAGTGGTGCCGAGTTCCTTCTGTATGGAACGCCACCAACAAAAGAACCACAGCAAACAAACCTTTCATGCTTGAAGTTCGGGCGTCAAGACTACGGCCGTACCACTACATGGCACATTCTCCAACACTGACTACCCCGCACCACACCCACGCCCTCGTACTCTCAAGAACAACAAATGAATGTAGTGTAGAGCCGATAGTGGAACACGACGCCTTGACCGTCACAGCCGTCACAGCACACCAACGCGTCCCGTTCATTGATCCCGCAAGGCAAGGAAGGGCGTGAGTGCCCTACACGACACCGCCTACGATTCCTGGGACGACGGCTAGTCTCTGCCATTTTCCGCGTGCACCAAATACGCTGGCCAGTGGTTTTTAACATCCTGGGGGAGTTAGAGTGCAGACTGGAGAACATTACGAAAAATGTTGGGCTTTAACACCGTTTTCGCGGACACCTTTTGGGTACAGGGGGGGGGGGGCGTGTACCCATAATCCTGCATGCCGTAATCCTTAAACCATTGGGGGGGGGAGGGGGGGTTTAATCAGAATCGTGCATGCCG